CAGTCTTAGCTATGAGCAGTGCCCTTGGGGTTAAGCTCCCAGGCCCACTCCACAGTGCAGAGAGCCAGGACAGAGCACTAAAATAGCCACAGCCACTCACCTGGGGCTCTGGCAGAAGGAGGGCGGAGTGGACTGGAACTCTGTGGGGACACCCGGGATTTGGAGGGCACTCAGAGTTTTTGCTGAGTCGCGGCCACAAAGGATGGTGGCCTGTTTGCACCTTCCCAGAGCTGTGGGGAAAAGCAGCAGCCCCTCCCTTGGAGATTCATCTTTTTCCAGGTGAGGCAAAGAAATGCAAATTGACGCTCATTAATAACCAGCATCTACCCCACCCTGTGGAAGCCCTCTTACACAGAACACCAGGGCTACACTCCACGGCCCTGAGTAACTGAGACTACTAGCCTCCAGGCAAAAAGCTAGAGGATAACTGAACCTTTCCTGGGCTTGCAAATATACCTAGGAAATTAAGACTTGACAGTGGTGTTTAATGTGGCCCATCCAAACTCAGGCCCATCCAAACTCAGTAAAGGGAGCCACAAACAGCAGAACACCAACACCCACAGGGAAAATTTGGCAGGCTCCAAAACCCACTGAGATAGCCAAAATGGTGAAACAAAGAAACAAATCCCAAAAGAACAAGAGAACTTTATCAAAGATGAGATAAATGAAATGCAATTAAGCAAATTATCAGAGGTAAAGTTCCAAACCATGATCTTGAGGAAGCTCAACAGCATGAGTAAGGACATCAGCACCATGAGTAAAGATATAGAAACATTGAAAACCAACCAAGTGGAAATGAAGAATGACATAGCAGGAATAAAGAACACATTGGAAGGACTAACCAGCAGAGTAGAAGCAGCTGAGGACCGGATCAGTGAATTAGAAGACAAGGTAGAAAAAAATCAACCAATCGGAAAACCAAAAGGAAAAAACACTTAAAAAACAGGAAGATAGCTTAAGAGAACTGTGGGACAACTGGAAATGTAATAACATTTGCATTATAGGAGTCCCCAAAGAGGAGAAAAATGGGCAAGGGTTAGAGAATATATTTGAAGAAATAGTGACAGAAAACTTTCCTAACTTGGTGGAAGAAGAAAGCATTCAAGTTCAAGAAGCACAGAGAGCCCCAAATAAGAAGAACCCAAACAGATCCACACCAATACACATAGTAATTAAAATGCCAAAAATTAAAGACAAAGAGAGAATCCTAAAGGCAGCAAGAGATAAGCGACAGGTTACCTACAAAGGAAACCCCATAAGGCTCTCAGCTGACTTCTCAACAGAAACACTACAGGCCAGAGGGAGTGGCATAAAATAATCAAGGTCATGAAAAACAAGAATCTGAATCCAAGACTATTCTATCCAGCAAGGCTATCATTCAAAATAGAAAGACAACTAAAAAGCTTTCCAGGCAAAAAATGGCTAAGGGAATATATTAACACTAAACCAGCATTGCAAGAAATGTTAAAAGGACTGCTGTAATTAGCAGAAAAAATAGAAAGAAAAATAGAACCACACTAAACAAAAATGGCAATAAATAAGTGCATATCAATTATCACCTTAAATGTGAATAGCTGGAATGTTCCAATAAAAAGACACAGAGTAGCTGACTGGATAAGAAAGCATGACTCACAGAAATATTGTTTACAAGAGACCTACCTCACAACAAAAGACTCACATAGGTTGAAAGTGAACGGATGGAAAAAAATCTTTCAAGCAAACGGAAAGGAAAAAATGCTGGGGTAGCAATACTGATATCTGATAAATTAGATTTCAAAATGAAGGCCATAACTAGCGACAAAGAAGGCCACTACGCAATATTGAAAGGATCTATCCTTTCAATAAGATATAACCTTGGTAAACATATATGCACCCAATATAGGAGCACCAAAATATATTACAAATCTTCTGGAGGACTTCAAAGGAGAAATCGACAGCAATACAATCATAGCAGGGGTCTTCAACACCCCACTGACAACACTGGATAGATGCTCTAGACAAAAAATTAACAAAGAAACACAGACTTTAAATGAAGTGCTAGATCAAATGGATTTAATAGATATCTACAGAGAATTACACCCCAAAACTTCAGAATTTACATTCTTCTCAAGTGAACATGGGACATTCTCAAAGACAGATCACATGTTAGGGCACAAACTAAGTCTCTACAAGTTCAAGAAGATTGAAATCATATCAAGCATCTTCTCAGATCACAATGGCATAAAACTAGAGATCAATTACAACAAGAACATGCAAAGACATTTGAAAACATGGAGGCTAAATAGCAAGTTATTGAACAATGAATGGGTTACCATGGAGATCAAGGAAGAAATTAAAAAATTCCTGGGTACCAATGAACACACAGCAACACAAAATCAATGGGATGCAATGAAAGCACTATAAGCCCACCTCAAGTAACAAGAAAAATTTCTAATTGACCATCTAACCTCACAACTTAAAGAACTAGAAAGCGAACAAAAAGAAAACCCCGGAGCAAGCAGAAGGAAGGAAATAGTAAAGATCAGAGAAGAAAATATAGCAACAAAATTTCAGACATCATACACAGCAGAATTTTCACTGATACATCACCTAAAGCAACAGAAACAAAGGAGAAAATGAACACATGGGACTACATCAAATTAAAAAACTTCTGCACAGCAAAAGAAACAACCACCAAAATGGTAAGGCAACCTACTCTATGGGAGAGCATAATTGCCCATGATACATCAGATAAGGGATTAATTTCCAAAATATATAGAGTACTTATACAACTCAACAAAAGAAAGACAAAGAACCCAATTAAAAAATGGGCAGAGGAACTGAATAGATACCTCTCCAAACAGGACATACAAGTGGCTAAGAGGCATATGAAGAAATGCTCAATCATCAGAGAGATGCAAATTAAAACGATGAGATATAACCTCACACCTGTCAGAATGGCCGCCATCAACAAATCATCAAACAACAAGTGTTGGCAAGGGTGTGGAGAAAAGGGGACTCTAGTACACTGCTGGTGGGAATGCAGACTGGTGCAGCCACTATGGAAAACAATATGGTGTTACCTCAAAAAATTAAAAATTGAATTGCTGTTTGACCCCGTGATCCCACTTCTAGGAATATACCCTAAGAAACCTGAAACACCAATCAGAAAGAATATATGTACCCTCATGGTCATAGCAACACTATTTACAATAGTTAAGATTTGGAAACAGCCCAAGTGTCCATCAGTAGATGAATGGATAAAAAAACAGTGGTACATATACACAATGGAGTACTATGCAGCTGTAAGAAAAAAAGATCTCTTATCCTTTGAGACAACATGGAGGGACCTGGAAAGTATCATCCTAAGCGAAACAAGCCAAACAGAGAAAGACAAGTATCATATGATCTCACTTATTTGTGGAATATAATGAACATAACTGTCTGAAGAACAGAGTAGTCCCAGAGACATGGAAGTAGGGAACAGACTGACAATCCCCAGGAGAGGGGATGAGGGGGAGAGATAAACCACAGAACTTATATGCATGTATGCATGACAAATGGACATGGACAACAAAGCTGGGGACAGGGTTGGGAGGGAGGGGGAGGAGGCTGTCAATGGGGAAAAAGGAGAAACATCTGTAACAAAAATAAATAAATTAATTAATTAATAAAAAAAAAAGATAATGAGGTTACAGATTTGGACACAGAAAGGAGAAAAGTCCAGGCTAAAGACAATCTTGAAAGTGATGCCTGGTCAGAGTGGCTCAGTTGGTCGAACAATGTCCTGTGCACTGAAAGGTTGCTGGTGCAGTTCCTGGTCAGTGCACATGCCCGTGTTGTGGGTTTGATCCCTGGTTGGGGGTGTATGGAGGGCAATTGCTCAGTGTTTTTCTCTCATCAGTGTTTCTCTCTCTCTCTCTCTCTCTCTCTCTCTCTCTCTCCTTTCCTCTCTCCCTCTTCTTTCCTCTCTCTAAGCCTGTCCTTGGGTGAGGAATAAAAACAAAAATAGATACATGGAGAGATGGTATCTAAAGCTGTGGATCTCCCAGGGTTATGAGGTATGAAGACTGAGGCATAGGCATGACAACATCTGGAAAATGGGAAGTGAAGGAGAATTACCAAAGGAGACTGAGCAGGTCAGCCAGTGAGTGACCAGAAAACCAAGACAGTGCCTGACCAGTGTGGCTCAGTGGTTGAGCATTGACCCATGCACCAAGAGGTCAACAGTTCAATTCCTGGTCAGGGTACATGCCCAGGTTGTAGACCAAATCCCAGTGGGTGGCATGCAGGAGGCGGCCAACTGATGTTCTCTCTCATCGATGTTTCTATCTCTCTCTCCTTCTCCCTTCCTCACTCTCTAAAATCAATACAGAAAAAAAATTCAAAAAAGAAAAGAAAAACCAAGACAGTGTGGTATCCTGGATCTAAGAAGGTGAAGTCTCATGGTCATAATTAACAGAGTGGGAGATTAACTTCTAGGCGTTTGTTATAATACACACACACACACACACACACACACACTATACCTATGTGTGTTTTATTTATTAAAAATTTTTTTCTTTATTGATTTTAGAGAGAGAGGAAGGGAGAGGGAGAGAGAGATAGAAACATCGATGAGAGAGAACACTGATTGGCCGCCTCCAGCATGCCTCCCACTGGGGACGGGGTCCACAAACTGGGCATGTGCCCTGACAGGGAATCAAACCGGCAACCTCTTGGTGCATGGGTTGACGCTCAACCACTGAGCCACATCAGCTGGGCTATATATACACACTTTATATATATTTTATATATATTATACACACACATATTTTAAAATATGATTAGGATCATATTTACATGTGAATGAATTTTAATGTATTAAAGTTGAAGTGAAAACTAAAAGTTGAATTTAGAGGAAAAATGGAGACAAAATCATAGGCATTCTAAATAATAGGATTGAACACCTCTATTATTAATTAAAATAATTATTAGTGTATCAAGTCACAAACACTTCTGATGGTATTGTTTCCACTTAGTTGCAGAGAATGTCATCAGAAAAAAGAAACACTCTCTGGCAGAGAAGGTTGGAACCATTCAACTTACAGTCTCTCATGTTAGTGAAAAGGTAAGGTGTGATGCTGAAGGCCAACTGCCAGTCCTGGATCCCATTTTTTCTGCAAAGTGTTCCCTATGTAGGAGACACAAAGCACTGTTACCCATGACTTCTAGGAAAGAAAATGCAAACTCCGTAACCCGAGTCAGTGTTAAAGGCCAAACCTGTATCTTAACATTTTTTTTATTTATTTTTTTTATTTTTTATCCTCACCCGAGGATATTTTTCCATTTTTTTTGTACAGATAGAGTGGGAGGGAAAGAGAGAGAGAAACATCGACGTGAAGGGACACATCGAGTGGCTGCCACCCGCACGACCAACCAGGGCCGGGGACAAACTGCAACCGAAGTACGTGCCCTTAGCGGGAACCGAACCCGGGTCTCTCCGGACCGCAGGCCGACGCTCTAACCGCTGAGCCAAACTGGCCAGGGCTTAACATTTTTTTGGTTACTGCTTGGTCTGTTTTATGGTTCTATATGTCCCCCTTGATGCTTTTATTTTTTTAATCCTCACCTGAGGATATGTATATATATATTTTTTATCCTCACCCGAGGACATTTTTCCATTTTTGTTCAGATAGAGTGGGAGGGAGAGAGAGGAAGAGAGGGAGAGAGAGAAACATTGACGTGAAAGGAACACATCGAGTGGCTGCCTCCCGCACAACCCCAACTGGGGCTGGGGACAAACTGCAACCGAGGTACGTGCCCTTAGTGGGAACCGAACCCGGGTCTCTCTGGACCGTGGGCCAACGCTCTAGCCAGGGCACCTGAGGATATTTACATTTATCTTCAGGCAGAGTGGGAGGAAGGGAGAGAGAGAGAGAGAGATAGATAGATAGATAGAGAGAGAAACATCGATGTGAGAGAGACACATGGATTGGTTGCCACCCACACTACCCCATCCAGGCCGGGGATGAACCGCAAAAGAGGTATGTGCCCTTGGCCGCAATTGAACTTGGGACTCTTTGGTCCATGGACCGATGCGCTAACCACTGAACAAAACTGGCCAGGGCCCACTTGATACTTTTAAAGTGATAGTGAGCTTTCATGCTCTCCTGGATGATATCGGTATCTACCTAAAGACATATTTGGGGGGAAAAAACAAAAACCTAATTAGCATGAACATAAAAGAGAAGGCTTGAAGATGCAGGAGGGGAAGAAATCAGAGGAAAAGTTAAAATTCAAAGCACTGGTTTAAAACTTTATTTGGTAAGAAATCCAGGGTTCTGTGCAGCCATCTGATGAACCTCAACCTTGGAGGGCGGTCTAGGGGGACCCCCTGTCCACAGAGCAGAACCAGAACAGTGTATATCTATGGGTTCTGCTTAAAACTTTGTTTCAAAAAAGTGTTCTGCCTCTAAAAATATTTGACCAGCTCAGTTTTGGGGAATGCAATGAGGGACTGTGAATCCCAAACTGAACACTGTGTGCTCGCTGGGGTTGTGGGATCCCTTTGATGGGCTGCTATGGTGCAAGAAGCCAGCCTGTGTTAGGGAACTGGGGACTGGTTTAGGGCAACTGTTGCAGAGACAGTGGCAGAAAAAGAATGTATTTATGTCGTCTACTCCACCAGGATGTGCTGTTTTAATTTCTCTCTAATTTTAGGTCTTCAGCTCTGTAAATGCAACTCTCGATCTCTCCGTTTTTCTGGGTCAAGTCGTTCTGGAAAGCCTCGTGAGGGACCTGAAAAGGAAAATTCCAAGTTTATGCTTCAGTCCTTTGGAACAAAACGGGAGAATCTCCGTTCAGGGGTCATTTCTGGCTATGAAGAAGCTCAAAGAGTCTTTGCTATTAAAAGCAAGTTCTCTTTTAGAAAAAGACAGGAGTTCCACCAGCGAGGGGGGGAAGTGGAATAGACAGAGCCCCAGAAGCAGTCTGCAGAGAAGTAGCAACGCTCTGGAGTCACCCAGGTCCTCAGTGCCCAGGGCTACTAGATGTGGAGAGACATTTGTTCTCGATACAGATGTTTTCCTTTACCTGAAAAAGAAGAAAAGCTGTTACGAAAGCATGTTGAAAAGATCTAACGTGCTATGTCAGGAGACTGTGGATGGTGAAATTACCACAATTTGCATAAAAAATGCTCGCAGTGGTTTGCCGCCAAACAATGAAAAACTTGTAAAAGAGTTCATTGAGAAATGCTCACATGCTCTTTACTTCGAGCTCAGAAAAGAGACATTTGTTTTGGAAGGAAAGAAAAAGAGAGAGAAAAGAGATATAAAGTTGGCATGTGAACAACTAAATCCGAGGTACCTTCAGGTTCTGATTAATTTTTATGAAACACACATTGACATTCTAGGACCTTCTTCTGACATTTACTTGTTTAAACAAGAGGTCATGAAATTAATAAGGCAAACAGTTAGGTGATAGACTCTCAGCAATAGTGATGACAGTGGCTGCTGCTTTTCCTTACTGAGCAGTGACGATGCTGTGCATGATGCTAGCTAGCTTGACACACTTTATTTCACTTAATCCTCGCGACCATCCTTCATTGTAGGCGTTGTGATCTTCATGCAATAGGGGAAGGCATAGAATTTGGAGAGGTTAAAACACGTGTCTGAGCTTATCTAGCTGGCTAGGCATGGGGCTGGGGTTAAACCCAGTCTATGTGACTACAAAGATAATATCTAAAGTATGTAAATGAAAAAACTCACAAAACTGAAGACATCTTGCTTTCTCTGTGACCCCAAATTCTTAGAAAAAGAAGTAGCTTTAATTCTAATACATGAGAAATTTAGATGATGATGATGATGATGAGGAGGAGGAGGAGGATGCCACTGGCAATTTCTTAGCATTTACAAAGTCTGCATTTACTCTAAATAGAATAAAAATGCTAGCAAGCCCTGGTGGAGTAGCTCAGTTAGGTAGAGCATTATCTGATATGCCAGGGTTTCTGATTTGATCCCAGGTCAGGGCACATAAAGGAATCAACCAATGAATGCATGAATGGGTGAAGCAACAAATTGATGTCTCTCTCTCTCTCTATTTCCCCCTCCTATCTCTCTCTAAAAATCAATCAATACATAAAAAATTAAAGAATAAAAAGAATTCTGGCAAAAGTCACTTGAGAAACTACTTTCTCAAAATCAATCAACCAATAAAAAATTAAAAAAAAAGAATGCTGGCTAAAATCACTTGAAAAACGACTTGGGAATTATTTTTGATGCAGGTTAAGTTATTACTTGATTAAATCCCATTGGTACAAGACTACTAGACATAGGTAACATTTTTATTTAGCTTAACTAAGTGCTTACATAAAATGTTGGTTCTCCTGTTATAAGGATAGTGTAGTATCTTTTTTTCTTTATTCCCCCTTTTATTTCATAATTGTACTGTTAAAGTAACATTTGAGGAGTTAGATCATAAATGATAATGATAATAACATGGATATGGGAAATATCACGGGAAACTTTGTAAAGTACATGACTGTCTAACCACTATGTTGTACACCTGAAACCAATACAAAATTACCCTGAAAGCAAACTATAATTGAAAAATACAAAAAAGTCAATTTTCACATGGAACTAAGAGAAAAATAAAATGAAACATTTATTAATACAAAAAGAATAATAACAAGTGCTGTCTGCCAGGCATAATTTTAAGGGCTTTACATATTTTCATTCAGTCCTGACAGCAGCCCTATGAGGCAAATGCTGTCTTTATGCCCTTTTCACAGATGAAGAAACTGAAGTGCACTGATGTAATGCACCTGAGCTCTTAATTGCTTTACTGTGCTTCTCCCTCTTATAGAATTAGTCTACAATTCTACTTAAACAATCAAGAAGTTTTCCTTTAAAGATGACAGGCAAATTTGAAAATTCTTTTTTGAAGGGAAGCCAGGGCCTATAAGTAATTGAGTTGTCTATGACTGCCCTGAATTTAACTTTGGATTACGCCAGTGTTAAGTAGCTGGGCCACTGCAGAGACCCTCCTAGGATAATAAAATGTATACATCTCACATAGCTCTAAGTAAACAATCATGCTTATGATGATTGGAATTGTTTATATCAGTAGGAACGATTAAGAAAAACTTACATGTTTTCAATTTTCTCAGCCATCTAAGTCCCAAATATGTAAGTAATTTCTATTTCTTTAAACACGACATTTCATTTCTGTATGAGTAAACACTTACCACGGGAAGCTGCTGTTTACGTCGAGCACCCAATAAAGTATCTTTAAGTTAAGAGGGGGTTTCATTTTTATTTTGTTTCAAGGAGTTTGTCTCAGTCTGGGTCCAATCAAGAGAGAGAAGGCACATAGTAATTTGAATAGGGAAAGTGTAATATAAAGAATTGTTAAAGGGGACTGGAATAATGAGGGATTGACTAGCAAGAAATAAAGAGAACTGAGGAATAAAAGCCGTAAGGAGCAGTTTAGATAGAGCACGCAAGGAAGAACTCTCCAGCCCCCCTCTGCCCCAGGACTGAAAGCCAGTCCTCGCTGGAGGACTCGTACTAGGGGATGTTGCTGGAAATCCATCCTCTAGGGTATTGGAGGAATCTCTTCACAGGAGTATCTCCCCCGGCACTATATTTACAAAATGGCTAAAGAGGTTGCTGGAGTAGGGGGGGTTGAGGGGGTGGGGGTGGGGGTGGCTAGTTGCTGCTGGCCACTATGCACTACACTGTAGTGACTAAAGGCACCAAGTGCTGGGGAGGCCTTGCGTGCAGGGGCTGGACACTGGAGAGGCTGCCCACGGTGCATGGGCCTGATGGTGGAGAAGCTGCCCGTGCTGCAGAAGCTGGGTTCTGGGAAGGATGGATTCTGGGAAGCCTGCCCTTGGAACACACTGAAGCAAGAACAAGACTTTTTTCTCTTGCAATGTTTCTCTGGCGCCCTCTACTGAGAAAACTTAACATCCTGTCAGCCACAAAAGAAAAATCTTTCAAGGGACCAGAGCTATTTATACAGAGTACACACAAAAGATGAATTTAAAGCTGAGTCAATAAATTAATAACGGGCAGAGTCATATTTGATACTCACCAAGGCTTTCATTATTGCCAGTTATATAATACCAATAGAATAGTCTTTCAACAAAGAGCTGGATCAGAATAGTGAGTTTCAATCCATGAGTTGATAGAAATTAAATACTAATTGACTTAAAGATATAGGTACAGGTACAGCATCTTCTGCTTGAGACCTGTATTTTAGGTCTATTTTACTTATTTATTTAAAATCTTTATTGTTGAAAGTATTACAGATGTTCTTTCTTTCCCCCTCTATTGACCCCCCCTCCCCGCTCCCACCTTCTTCCTGCCCTCATGGTCCTGTGCCCACCACTCATGGTCCCTCGCGTGTTGGCGGCCCCATGCTCGCCAGGGTAATGTCCCGACTCAGGAAGTTCCTCCTCTGCTCTGCAGGACCCAGTCCCAGGCAATCTGCCCCTCTCACCGGCTCCCACTTGCCTTCGTAGCCTTTGCCAGTCGCTGGAGCTTAGCACCCTCTGTTCCCTCAACTGGGCATATCTTACTTCAGTCTTCCTTCTCTCTTTGCTGAAGCATTTTCAAATGAAGCCCAGACATCATTTTATTCCACACCTATCGATTTATGTGTGTCTTTTTAAAATGAAACATTTTTTCTTTTCTTTCTTTCTTTTCTTTCTTTCTTTCTTTCCTTTTCTTTCTTTCTTTCTTTCTTTCTTTCTTTCTTTCTTTCTTTCTTTTCTTTCTTTTCTTTCTTTCTTTCTTTCTTCTTTTCTTTTCTTTTTTTCTTTTCTACATGCCCCTAGCGGGAACTGAACCCGGGACTCTCTAGTCCGCAGGCCAACATTCCAACTGTTGAGCCAAACTGGCCAATCATTATTTATTTTAGATAGAGAGGAAGAGACAAGAAGAGAGAGAGAAACATCAATGTGAGGAAACATCGATTGGTCATCTCCTGCATGCTCCCGATTGGGGATTGGGCCCAAAACCTGGGCATGTGCCCTGACCCAGAATCAAACCGGCGACGTCTTGGTGCATGGGTCGATGCTCCACCACTGAGCCACACCGACCAGACTAATATTTATTTTTTGAAGGTTACTGATGCCCAGGCATATGATGTGAATTTCATCTTGTTGTCAGCCCTAAACCCTGTTGTAGGTCCTCCAATGAGAGAAAAACCTATCATTTAATTAGATAACAAGTTGGTACTTTTTGAAGAGGCTGTAAGTAGCAAAGACAGCCATTACCAAGTTTAAAAGGATGCAGGGGTTTGAGATCATGACAGACACAGGAGAAGAGAGGGAGAGAGGGCTCTGAGGCATTTGAATAAGAACTCATTCAGGAATTTTTGTTGAGCTCAGCCTCTGGGGCAACTATTTAAAAAAAAAATAAATTTAATGCTTTTTAAAAAAATTTATTTATTTTATTTTTTAGAGAGAGGAAAGGAAAGAGAGATGAAAACATCAATCGGCTGCCTCCTGCATACTCCCTACTGGGGATCGAAACTGAAACCCGGGCATGTGAGCCCTGACTGGGAATGGAACCAGGATCTCAGTCCATGGGATGACGCTTAATCCACTGAGCCACACCGGCTGGGCTGGGACAACTATTTTGTAGTGTTCTGGAGATAGCAGTGGCACATAAGACAGAAATATCCACTGACTCCTTAGAAATCTGGCAGAGAAGGCAGGTACACAAGCCATGATGGCAGGGCTTGTTATCCAAGTATTTGGCGTGGGGTTGGGGGGTGGTGGTGGTGGTCAATTCTTACTTAGTCATTTCCAAATTATTGGCATAATTCTCACAGAAAAAGTTAGTGAGCCATGTGTTCACGTTTTCTTTACCTTATTATTGATGAGTAAACTAGCAGAATGACAAAACGGGCACAAAAAGAACACAAGAAATGGAGTTAGAAAGTCACTAGGAAGAGGCATGTTAGTAAAGACTGCTAACCTAGAAACAAAACTGATCAATGTCCTCTAATGCTATAAAATTGTGATTTAAGGGAATTATTTTGCTGCTAGACAGAAGTGAAAATAATCACATTTTATTGGTCTTAATTTTAGGAGTTAAATTTCTGACTTTACAGAGTTGTAAAATGTCATTGCCCTAATCAGTTGTGATAGTAAGTGAAACCAAGTTACATTCCCCAAAAGAGATGACCCACAAATGAGCCTATTAGAGCATGTCTAGCACACCATTCAAAGGTCTACATAATTATTTTTTGCCTTACTTATGTGTCTTGAATAATTTTCTTTAACAAGGGTCAGAAGCAGCTTCTCAGAGGCTGAGAGCTGATGATGGGTGTTTGCTCAGTGAAAAGATGAGGAGGGAGGGCAGTTCAGCACTTGGGTTGGTAGATGAACGCCAAGTTTAGGGGTGGCTGAATTTTGACAGGTTGGTTTTTACCACTTTTATTTGACGGACTAAATTTCTCAACTTCTCAATAGGAGACTCACACATGCAAAGGTGCAGAGGGAAGGAAATGTCTAATTTGCTTTGTGAATTTCTCCTTGTAAATCACGTTAGTGACAATGTATAAAGTTTCCCCCAAATGGTAATTAAACAAACTTCCCTATCCTAACTGTATTTTATTACTCTCAGACCATTTCCTGGTATACAGACTGGCCAAGGAAAAGAAAAACCCTTTTACTCTAGTGGGTTCTCGCTCATGGTCTCCACTGACCCTGCTCTCTCATTTCACCTCTTCCAAACGGAATGATTCTGGAAAAGCTCCTTCCTCCTCTCGCCTCAGTGTCCTCAGCTGTCACCTCTTTCACAGGGTTGTTGTGAGTTTTAGAAACACGTTAAGGAATAGATGTTCAAAAGTCGTAGTCACTATCTGAAGAACTTGGTAATACCAAGACCCCAAGAAGGCTCCCTCTGCTTGGAATGTCTGATCTTAGAGCTGTTGCCAATATGGTACTCAAGCTAGAACAAGGAATTGCTCCGGACTTCTTCCTTTTCTCTCCATTTGCGTGGCCGCTATTATGTCTTTTCCTTCCTGATTTAGTGGATTGAACAGTAACCCTCCCATCTTGCATTTACTCCACTACTGTAATTAGCTCATACCTGAGTTGTTGCAATAGTCTATCTGGCCTTCCTGTCTCAGCTCTACCCACCCACATGCTCTCAATTCACCCTTTACACCATTACCATAATAATATGTCTAAAACGAGTAGTGGTATTTGGGAGTCTTATACTATCTGGCTGATACTAATTGTCCTACCCTGGAATTTCATCGCAACATTTAATCTTTTTAAATCCATTTACAGAATATATTATCTGATAGGTACAGATTACTTAAGCTCATAAAACATTAGTATTTGGTCATACATTAACTATTTTATTTTTTAGTATCTAATTTACAGATGTGAATAAGTTTCTTCCTTTTTTCTCCTGAAGCTAGCAAGCATCACTTACAGGCAGCTCTGTGTCAGAAGAAGTCTGCCTACGTCAGTCGTACTGTATAGGTTTTGTAGCTTGATAGATGTAAGATTGGATTTTAGCA